CCCCGAGCCCCTCAGGCTGGGCAGCATGTCTGTCCCTGCCGCGACCACAGCCGGGACGGTGAAGGCAGGGGTCTGTCCCTGTCCCGCTAAGGCAGAGCTGCTGCCCTGGCACAGAGGCCGGGGTCTCTGCCACCCATATTCACCCCGGGGTGGCTTGTGCGCCGCAGAAATAAACCCAGGTCCCCGGGATGATCCGGTGCGGTGTCCGGGGGGATCCTTGCGGGTGGCTGTACAGGGCTAGGGAAGCAATCAGTGCCTCTAATCTGCGGGGGGGACCAGGGTCTGCGGGGAACAGCCCTGTCCCCTGTGCCAGCGTTGTCGCTGGGTGCCCCCGCCTGTCCCACCCGCTCCCATCAGCGCCAAACAGCTGGGATGGTGATTTCACCCTTTATGACTCCAGAAATCCCTCCAGAGAACTCCAGTGCTGCTGCAGACCTCTCCAAGGGAAATTAAACCCCCAGGAGAGGTTTGCTCATCCCCCATCTCAGGTTTGCGAAGTCCCTTTGGCAGGGCTGGTCCCCCGCGGGGGGTTGCGGAGCAGAGCCAGAACCCTGCATGTGGAGGCTTTTTTTCCCCCTGCAGCTGTTTTGCAGAGAACTAATTTCCCCCTTAATTTGCCATCCTAATTCCCTGCTCTTTTATGGGGTTGGAAATAACCTCCTGGTGAAATCTGTGGTGTTTCCTTAGCTTGACTCCTGACAAGATGTTTGGGGAGGAGGCGGCAGCACCTTGCACCGGAGGGGAGGGTTTCCCGGCATCCCTGCGTGGGAAATTGGTGTGTGTCCCTGGCACGAGCTTGGCCCCTGGCGTGGTTCAGACCGGACCCCACCAGGGCAATAGAGACCAGTTAAATGTTATTGACCCTCTTTAAACGAATGCCCTAATTGCAAAGTTGCTGGGGTTAGTGGTGCTGTGGGTCTCACAGCCCGTGGTTAGCGCTGGTGTTGGTAAAAATAGAAGCGGTCAAAAAATGGATTTTTATTTTTACTCCATAAAGTGTGTCCTCCTCAGATGTTTTGCTTTCATCTCGAGTTGAGGCAAGACGACTTGCTGCTTCCACAGAACAGGAAGAACAAGCTTTGTTTTGGGTCAGCTGGGGAGCTCCAGCACAGCAAGCTGCAAACATGCTGTTTGGCTTTGACACCCTCCCTTCCCGTTTTCTTTTTTTTTCTTTTGAGGAGTTTAAAGGTTACCACAATGTCATCTTGGAGCAAAATAACAAGTTTGCATTCCAAAAAAAATGTCGAAACAGGCTTTGCATGAGCAGGCACCTCTGCAGGCTGCGGCTCCTGAGTGTGAGGTGGCAGGCGTTGTCTCCGGGGAGCTTGGGAGACCTACCTCTCATCTGGGATGGAGCCAAATCACCGGCTGGAGAAGGCACAATTTGTTAATGAGGCAGAAAAAGAGAGGGGCCTGACGGGCACAGAGTGAGATCCTGTTTTCAGAGACCTCCCTGGCCTGTGGGTGTGCTGGGCAATGCCTGCGAACACCCTTCTCAGCATCTTTGTTGGAGTGGCACCTGAGCAGGTGATGTCCGTCAGCCCAGGACAGCCACAGGGGTTTGATCCTGGCCCAGCCAGAGCGACCAGAACAGGATTAAATCCACCAGCTTGGACACCTGGCTTGCACATCCCTTTGAAACAGATCAGTGTCCAAGGGCCACAAAAGGCTGCAAAACCTTTCTTAAAAAACACATTATTTCTTTACTGGCAGCAGCAGTGATGGCACCTTCGTGTACGTCATGAGCTCCAGCCCATGGGGGGAAAAGAAAGAAACAGCCTAAAAATAGAGCGGCTTCGAAGTAGTTCATAAATAATAAACCAGCCTCCTGAAAGGGAGATGGAAATCCAGAAACTCCCGGAAGCCATGGGAGCTGCTGTCAATTTTACATGTAGTGAGGAGGTGGCTGTCCCCGCAGAGGCATCATCAGCCATGTCTTGGGCTAAAAACCCTAAATGAGAGCTGGGAAAGAAAACACTGTTTATTTCCTCTTTCTTTTTCAGAAAACGTGAAAACTTTTAAAAATTCTTTTCTCAAATAATTTGTGAGAGCCACTCAATGGGCAGCTGCATTTTATTTTCTCGCCCCTTGAGATTTGCAGTCCCCAGATAAGGCATGCATGGGACACAGGCATGCCTCTGGTGCTGATAGGTATTTGCATCTCCCTTGCTGGCATCCCAAAAATTCCCAGTGCCGAGAGGGAGGGAGCTTGTTGGGGCTCAGCATACCCGCCTGTATTTCCAGAAGCATCTTGCCACTTGTGGCATTGCTCAGCTGTGCTGCTTTTGGCCGAGACCCTTCTGCAAACCTCCTCGCCCTGCCATCCCCAGTACAATCCTGCGCTGCTTCACCCTAAAGCCAAGGAGGGGTTGATAGAGGGGATGAATGTTTATCCCAAGCACAGCAACTTCCCACCACTGTCTCTTCTCTGCCTTTATTGCCTCATTTTTGCTGGGCTCGGGCACCCTCACATCACACATGCCGGTGGCTGAGGACCCCGTTCCCGGGGTGCCGGATCTGGCCCTGGGTGACACAGCAGGGTGGTCGGAGCCGCCTCCATCCCGTGCCGGAGCTCCCCAGCAGCCAGCGAGGGCTCCGTGGGACTTGGCTGTGGGACAAGTCGTTTAGCTAAACCTATCGCCCGTTCAGGCTAATCGCTTCCTAATGCCGCCGTAATCCCATTTAAAGCAACTGGCAGCCTAGAAAGTTATCAGCTCCCAGGGGAAGGTTAAAATGACCCGACCGGCAATGAAAAAGTTCCCTGAGCTGCGCGGTCTGGCCCAATACGCACTGCAAGACGAATATAAAATGCTGTATGTTTTGTGGAGCCCACACCCAGGTGCCACTCTGGGTTTACATCTAGGCATCCCCATAGTGGAGCAGTGATGCTCAGGACCCCTTTCTGCTTTGTCCATCTTTTTCTGGGGAGAAAGATCTGTCTGAGGTGCAAACAAAAATGGGGACATTTGCTCCGGCTTGTCATGCCTGCGGCAGGGAGAGGGTTCGGTATTTCATTTTGGATCTTTTTCTTCTTTTTTTTAAAAAAGAAAACAACCCCTTTAGAGGGAGTCTCTGCAATCAGCTTCATTCATGCCCAAAAAGTTTTTTTTTCTCCAGCCCCGGGGCTTGGGGAGGAGATGGCGTGCCCTTGTTTGCTGGCGCTAGGCAGGTACTGGCCAGCTGGTGTGCGGCTCTGCAGCTCCTCTCCCTGCTCCTCTCCTCCCGCGGCTGGGTTTGTTTCTCACTCTTCCCTGTCCTTACTTTACTTTTCCCGTCTGGATCCCGGCGCTGTGCTTGGCCGAGCCCAGCCAGCCTGTGGCCAAGGAAAAGCCATTAGGCTCTTGGCGCAGCCCACTTCCCCGGGGCCGCACACAGGGGAGCGGGCTGGAGCCGAAACACAGCCTGGGGCCCTGCTGGATGGAGGAAGAACCCTTTGGAGGCCCTGCACCGCTCAGTCCCAAGAAAATTAGCCTTTGTCCTGCTCGGAGACGTCGCAGGCGTCTGGGTGTATGGCAGGAGCGAGCCACTCTCCTCCCACCTGGGGCTGCTGGTGCGGTACCTCCCGCAGCCGTGCTTTGCTGTGCAGCGCATCCCCTGTGTGCACCCCAAAAGCAGCCGTGAGCTGCTGGTACCCCAGCCCCATTTGGCCATCTGGGGGCTGCAGAGAAGCTGGGATTTACTCACCTTCGCTGCAAAGCATCCCTGGGCTGGAGCAGCCAGGACACACATGGGATTGGGAGGGGATGGCGCTGTGGATGAGCTGAGTTAAATCTGCCAGGGAGGCAGTTTGATTAAATTTAGGAGCGGCTGCCTGGAATTCATTACCTGGTGTCTTTTATGGCTCTTAATTAGCCCTGTCCCTTAAAGATACTGTCAGTGGGCTAATCCAGCTCCTGCTAACCTCCTCCTACCTCCTCCCAGTCTCTGCTCCTCCCTCGCTGAAAGTCTTACCCCCTCAAAAATTAATTATGTCAACGATTTGGCCCTTATTGCCCTGGGGTTGTTCTCCACGTGGGCCTCAGGCTGTTCTCCGCACGTGTTCTCCGCCTGGGGTAATTGGAGATGGTGTCTGGTACGTGGCGTACAGCACCTGGCACATCGCAGCCCAGCAGCTGGGGGGCAGGGGGAGCTGCTGAAATGGAGTCAGCAAAGGGATGACAAGTGGTCCCTTGATTCAGAGATTCTTCTGAGACTATTTATATCCTATATTTATATCGTTTTTCAGAGACGGGTGCGCCGGGACTTGGTGGAGGTGGGAACTCTCCTAACAGTCCTTTGTCTTCTGCTGAGAGCCCCAGACTTGCTGCAAAAAGATCGTCCTTCCCACTCCTCTACAAAAAACTCCAGATAAACCAGAGCACCATGTACACCTTCCTGCCCGAGAACTTTACGCCAGTGAAGCAGAAGCCCTCCAAGGAGCTGAGGCCCATGCTGGGGGCCATCTTGCTGGGCCTTATCCTGTTCATTGCCGCGAGTGAAGCAAAAGCCCTCCAAGGAGCTGAGGCCCATGCTCAAGGCCATCATGCTGGACCTCATCCAGTTCATTGCCACGGTGGTGGCCTGGTGCTACTACACGGTGTCCCTGCGGAAGGCGGAGCGGCTCAAGACGGAGCTGATGGACCTGCGGGCGGACGGCTTCGTCATCAGGAACCAGCACGGGGAGGTGGTGTTCCGGCTGGCCTTCCGCTCGGGCAGCCTCGACCTGGAGTCGTGCTCCAAGGAGGGCGAGATTTTGAGCTGCACGCGGTCGGGCGGGGGGCCGCTCAACTTCTTCATCCAGACGGTGAAGCCCAAGGACACGGTGATGTGCTACCGCGTGCGCTGGGAGGAGCTGGCGGACGGCCCGGCGGTGGAGCACACCATGTTCTGGGAGGACGCCCACTGGTACGGGGGCTCAGAGATGAGCACCCAGCACTGGCCCATCCGCCTGGCCGGCTACCAGGAGCCCGTGCCCTATGTGACGAGCGACGTCTACTCCTTCCGCGACAGCTTTGGCGGCATCCTCGAGCGCTACTGGCTCTCCTCCAAGGCGGCAGCCATCAAGATCAATGACTCGGTGCCCTTCCACCTGGGCTTCAATGCCACCGAGCGCACCCTCTTCTTCCAGGCCCGCTACAAGGACTCTCCCTACAAGCCCCCGCCGGGGCAGCAGCCCTTCCCCGAGCTCAGCTACCGGGTCTGCGTGGGCTCCGACGTCACCTCCATCCACAAGTACATGGTGCGCCGCTACTTCAACAAGCCCTCCAAGATCCCCGCCGAGAACGCCTTCCGATACCCAATCTGGTCCACCTGGGCACTCTACAAGAATAATATTGACCAGGACAAACTCTTGCGATTTGCTGAAAAGATCAAGAAGTACCGTTTTAACTGCAGCCACATTGAAATTGATGACATGTACACACAAGCCTATGGGGACTTTGACTTTGACCCTGTCAAGTTCCCCAACGTGACGGAGATGTTTGCAAAACTGAGGGAAGATGGGTTTAAGGTCACCCTGTGGACTCACCCTTTCATAAACTACAATTCCTCCAATTTTGGGGTGGGGATCGAGCGTCAGCTGTTCATCAAGGAGCCATCTGGGCGGCTGCCAGCCATGGTGGAGTGGGGGAATGGCATTGGGGCCATCCTGGAC